AAAAAAAAAAAAAAAAAAAAAGAGGAAACATGGAGATCCTCATGTTCACCAATTCGTCAGGTTACAAAAACAACAAAACTCCTGACGACGACCGGTCGCACCGCGCGTGGAAGGAAAAGGTCATCGTACGACCGGTCGCACCGCGCGTGGAAGGAAATTCGCGGGCTGCTGAGTACATGGAACACGAAAGAGGGTCTCGCCGCACCACTTTCAAAACGAAAAAGTCAGAAGTGCATCTTCCAGAGAAAGTGCATCTTTCCACTTTCTCTGGAAGATGCACTTGTGCTTTTTCTCGTTTCCACAGTGGTGTGACGAGGTCCTGAAAAGAATGTCTTGTATTGCAGTCGTGTTCAGAAGCAAGGGTTGGCCATTGCTTTCCTATCTAAACAGTATAAAATTATCCATAAAAAAAAAAAAAGGGCTACGGCCTTGCGATATCATCATCGAACTGCCCGGCAAAATTGTAATACAGTATTTCACTCAATCTGCTTCCAGTGGGGTTCGAACTCAGCACCTGGTCTGCATTTCAACAGTTCAGGGGTGTACCAACTGGGCAACGCCAGTTGGTTATATTATATTATCTATTTTTAAATCAAGACACAAGACAAAAAAATCCCGCAAACAGACAAAAAGGATCCAAACTGAGATTGGAATTTGTGACCTTATGTTGGAATCTAATGTTGGGATCTCACGTTGGGATCTCACGTTGGGATGTTATCAGCAACTGCAATCAAAAGGGGCAACGGTGGACATGGTGCTCAACAATTTAAAAAAAAAGTGATTGAAGACCCCATCAACAGACTAGAGAGAGAGAGAGAGGGAGAGGGAGGGAGGTGTGAAGGGAGAGGAAGAGAGAGGGAGAGTGAGGGAGGTGTGAAGGGAGAGGAAGGGAGAGAGGGAGAGGGAGAGAGGTGTGAAGGGAGAGGAAGAGAGAGAGAGAGAGGGAGAGTACGGGAGAGTGAGGGAGGTGTGAAGGGAGAGGAAGAGAGAGAGAGAGAGAGAGAGAGAGAGAGTATGACGAGAGGGAAGAATCAACAAGAGACTTGACAAGAGAATCTACACTACCTTAGCGCGTTCGAACACGCGAGGTCATCCCCACTAACGACCACGCAAGAGGCATAGCCACGTGTCACTCCCTGCCGAGCCCCCGCCCACTTCCTCACCCCAGCTATGGCGGAGGGTCCCCTTAAGAGGGCGTTGCGCTCCCGCGCACCGGCCCGAAACCCGCCTCCTCCTGCAGCGCATGCTCCCCCCTGATAGACTAGCAGCCTCCGCAGCTGTGTCCCCGCCACGTCAGCCGCGCGCCGAGCCGCCATCGCCTCTCCCCTCGGCAATGCTCAATGCGGACAACCGGCTCCCTGCCTCCTCTTCTTGCTCAAAATCTTGACACGTGGCAGCACCTCGCCACGTCATGCACCTGCCCCGCTCTCGCGACGAAACAACACATGTGCATGCCACCGGCGACCTTTTCGCCGTGACCGACCCTATTTTTTACAATTTCTGCTTCGTATCCACCACCTACACCGTGACGAGCAGAGTCGCCGCGCTACTCCAGAATACTCAAAACCGAGAATGTATCTCCCGCTAGAACGTGCAACTATACACCCGCCATTGGTCGGCGCGGCGGGACCATACGCCGCACGTGCACGATCGCTCAGATCGGAACGACAGCCGCAGACAAACAACACCAGCGCCGGCGCGCCCGAATTTTGCGGACCCCGCGATCCCGAGGACAGGCTCGGGAGTGGGTATAGGGCCTCGCTTCACCACTACTCACCACATGTGCAAAATGGGAACGAATCTGACCTTAGAACATGGGCAGATGCGCCGCCATTTGTGTTTCCGCCTTCGGTCCATGTGCTGCGTAATGGTGCATGTGCTGCCTACCGTGTTCCCCCGAACACAACGCACCCTCATTATGAATGTATAGAGGCTATTTTTCCCGGTCCGATGCGCTCAAAATGAGGGTGCGTTGTGTTCGGGGGAAGACGGTAGTGGAGCGAGGCCCTACCAGTATAGGTCTCAGGCTGCCGTCGGCCCTATCTTTCGCGGTACTCTTCCTATTTTTTGGTGAAAGTGCCCTGTCGGGTCAGCCCCTGACACCGTGAGGGTGCGGCCTCAGGTGTGACCGCGAACGCGGGGCGGCGAGGCGTAGCGCGGCAAGGCAGAACACTGAATTGCAGGGTCCTAGTCTTAGGGCCTCGTTCCACACTACTACAGAACTCTTTGAGGTGCAAGGGCGCCCTGATCACAAAAATTGGAAATTGTTCACAGCCCGGCAGGGTTGCGTTTTCCCCCCCGAGACATTTTCGTCGTCGTTCGTTATACCGGTCGTTCATTCGGGCCCATTGGTCGTTCAAAGGCTGGTAAAATGAAAGGCACTGGCATTTAGGGGGGGGAGCGCAGTTCAAGCAAATGCAGGACCGGTATTTGCCCGTGGCATTTTCCTGGGAACCGGTAGGTGGCCGTGGTCTAAAATATTTTGAAACGGCGTGGGGGCCGCAGTTCCTTGAAATTCAAATTGTCTACCGCATGGGCGCGGGGAACGCAGCCCTAAGGTAGTCAAATCAATGAGACTAAGAGCTAACACGAGAGAGAGAGAGAGGGAGAGAGAGAGAGAGAGAGAGAGAGTTTTGTTCCATTTATTGTTATGAGTGTGAGAGAGAGAAAGAAATAAAGAGAGAGGGAGAGAGAGAGTTTTGTTCCATTTGTTGATGAGAAAAAAAAATAATAAAAAAATAAATAAATAAACACATGCAAATGTAGAAAGAACGTGCAAGGTTTTACTTTCACAGCATACATGTAATGTCCATGGCATGCGACACCAGTCACGATTACCCTTCTACCTCACTGCTCAGGTAATCATTTCAGCCACTATCCTCAGTATTTATACCCTTNTAATGTCCATGGCATGCGACACCAGTCACGATTACCCTTCTACCTCACTGCTCAGGTAATCATTTCAGCCACTATCCTCAGTATTTATACCCTTCATTCCCAGTCCTTCTCCGCCACTTTCCCTATCCTTGTAGTGTTTTCATCATCTATCCTCAGGATCTCCCACAGTCGCTCTCTGTGTTGTCCTTGTCGTCGTCGATTTCCAACACGCCTTCAATCTGGAGCTACTTTCATCATATCTTATGATTCTGTTCGTTGATTGATTTCGTCACCCTTGTTTCCAGATATGCTCATTCTGTGTTCGCGTTGTCTGATGTGATTTCAAGTTTTAGAGATTGGTGGTAGCATGTTTGAAAATATTTAAGGCATTCCAAGTCTTTCGTTTGATCTTCCTTACTTGCTATTATGATCATCATTACATCATCCACAAAACTTATACCGTGGATAAATTTCTCATCAATTCCAGTCTGCGCACACCATCTATACTCGTCGAACGCGCATACCATGTTGGCAATGGGTGGGCTAGAGCCCTTCCCCATTGGTATCCCCATTACTTGGCATAATAATGTTCCTTGTACTTTRAAGTTTGAAGTATGCGTRTTTGATGTCATAGTACAACAAATCCATTAGGCACTCAATTTTTAATGTTCTTCATCCGTAGGTTCCGTTTGTTTTTCCAAAGTTCATGTACTTTCCTCTCATCTTGTAATACAAGTGGATTTTCCGTTTTTCTTTCGCCGTTTTCATCATCCATTGCATGACGTTTAAGATATGTGTGTGATTAAGATTCGAAAATATATCTTTGACGTCGTATGTGGAGCAGATTATTGTAGTCCTATCCCCGTATGTTTCTTTTGCTACTTAATTGCATTGTTCAGTCTAGGTAGTAGTTGGTTCGTTCCTTTTAGTAAGAAACCAACTTTCAATGCTTGACACATGAAGTTAATAGGTCTTGATAGTACCTTCGATGCTTTCCGAGATGACTCCTTATATGTCGACACAATTGGTCGGCGTCTGGTGACATCCTTGTTTTTTAAAATTGTATACGCATTTCCGTATGATCCCTGTTCATCCCCTTCTGTGATTTTCTTCAGCCCACATCCATGATACGTATTTTTGGTCAATTGAGTGATCTTAGATTCCGTTTGTTGTATAATTTCGTAATGATTCGATTCTCGAAAGAATTTTCGGGTCTTCTCGTATCAAATTTTACGACATTCCACAAAAATTTCTCCAGGATTTCTGTCCAATGGTGATAGGGTACATTGTGTCAATCTTCTTTTTACTTCCCATACTTCTGATATGTGAAGAAAAATCTTCATATCTTTCTTCTTTTCGATGCAAGTAGAGACATCTATTTTAATTTTTCTTTTCTTCCTTAGTGGTCATGGTATACTTGCAATGGTAGTGATGATTTTCCTTTTAATTTCTTCCTTTCCAATTCTTTCGTTCATATGGGGTACGTTTTTTGCATTCCACAAGAGCTGATTTTCTGTGATTTCACTTAATCTGCAGGCAATGTGGTTCTCAATTTTTAGAAGTTGGGATACTGCACAATTACAGTCCGGTGCTTGTGTAAGCATCTGTCTGCGATTGTGTAATATTTTCCCGACTGTCTTTGATTTTTTAAACATCACACGCATCCGAGCTGTCAAATCGTTTGCCAAATTGTTATTACTTACGTTTTCCAAGATAGACTCGGTTGTTGTGTTTCTCACTTGCTTCAAATTAATGAATGCATCAAATGAAATCTTAAATATCAGCCTTCTCTTGATATTGAATGCAAACTTTTTCTTTAAAATTCGTGTGAAGATGCCGTTAATTGTTCCTCTTTGCTTCTTTCCGGTAATCGATCACACCTTTGACAAAAGAATCAGTATATCATCTAAAGATAATTTATACAGTTTCCTCCGTCTCCATGGTGCTCTCAAACAGTTAATCAAAATATTTTGTTTGTTTTCGGTTTCATATGCACCAGTTAGATCACATAGAAGATACATTCATTTTCGATTTGTTTTCTGCATTTTTTTAGCTGAAACTTTGTGTTGTTAATTTTCACAATTGTTGATCCGAATGTTCGTTTAATTACTTTCCATTTTTCATTTCATAGTTTTTCATCTGTGCAGTAAATCATTGCTTTCGGTTGAAGTATTGTTGTTAACTTCGTAGTGTAACGCGATCGAACCGATTTAAACAAAACAGGTATATTATGATTCACCTCATTGTTTTCATTCTTCTTCCTCTTTCTCCTTCTTCGTCTTCGATTTTTTCGAGTCTTTCTGCTTTTCCCCCTTGTATTCAAGAATGAATTCAGTTTCCTAATCAGTGCTGCTTCCATCAAATCTGATCTCACTCTCGTCCAAATAGGTATCAGAACATATTTCTCCCAACCAAATTTGTGTAGCCAACTGTATAGTTTCCGTTGTGCTCCTCTATTTTGATTCTTGGCTAAGTTTATGTGTTCAGTCCATCTCTTGTCGGACTGTCTTCATGTCCTCCCCACGTACATATGTCTACACCAAGGTGAAACGAGAACATACACACTTTATGATGATCTTATTAGTTTATCAAATGTATGAGTCTGTGCTACCCAGAGATCAACTAGTTGGCTTGCCCATGCTATCTGTCCGTCCAATGCTAGTGAGATAAACAGAAGTCTGTACCTTCTATTGTATGTATGACACTCATTAATTTTCCCTGTACTAACTAGTTGCTCAATTTTCGTTGATAGCCTGTGTATCTGCTCCCACTTGTGTGTTGTGGTGAGGTCGCCTGATGCTGAGGTGTCTTCTACCTTCCCGACAGATCTTCGACGCTCGAAGATGTGCCGGATGAGTCATACTCATCACTCCCGCTTGATTTTGTACTAAGGCTCTCGTAATCATCCTCACTTGTGTCGCCGCCAATTGTATTGGACACTCTGATGTTAACTGGATCTTTCATGATCTGTGTTTCAAGATCAGAATCCCGGTTGAAGTCCCGTCTCTTGTAGAAGATCAATCGAGGAACTTACCTCAATGTCGAGATCGCTTGCGACTTGTCCTTGTACCTGATGTCATGCATCTTGCATAAGACCTTCAGGTTCATGTAGTGAAGACGAAGGAGCTGCATGTCCGTCATCGGTTCGACCCTGAAATTAATGTTCCGTTTTGCCTTCGACTTCGCTGCCGACACGTTGCGATTAATCTTCGTTCGTCCTCTCTTGGGGTGTGGAGGGATTACACGTCCCAATCTGCTTTTGTTAGGTGTGCTTCTGCTTGGCATGCTTCAGCTCGGAATGTTGCGGCTACCATGTACTGAAGTTGGTAGTCCAGCCATTGCCCCACATATCTGCTCGGATGAACCGAAGATGACACGATCGGAGTGCAAGTACGAGTCGGTTCTTTGATCTTCTGCAACGCGCCCCTCACAACCGTCAGATCATACTTTAGTAGTTTCAGGTTGTTGACCTCCTTCTGCACTTCTGATACCATCCTTTCTACTTTATCTTCCGCCTCTGTATTCTTCTGACCGGTTGCGCTTGAACCAGCTTGATTATGTCCCCCTTGGTTTATCTTTGTCGGCTTCAGTGCTTCATCAATGATGAGCTTGAGCGCGTCCGGAGTTAGCTCAGGCTTTTTTGCGGTGTCTTCCTTGTTCGGAGGAACTG